AAGAGGAGCTATCGAATTTTCATTGGCCAGTTTTAGAAACTTATGCTAGTCCTTACTGTACAGCCTGTTTATTGCTTTTCTTCTTGATGCAAAATTCATTTTGCGGTAAAGATCCTGATGGTTAAGATTGTCACCAAGTATACATTACAATAAGTCATTTGAAAGATCTAAGCTATGGACATCCCAGGGTGAGAGACTACACAGTACAACGTGGAAATCATAATTTATGTAGTCTCAGTGTTTCAAAGGTTGTTTAGGGTTTTCTGACTTTTTAGTTCAACTCATTCTTGAATTGTCACAGGTGGATTTAGTGTCATGACAATTATGGTATTTTCTTGTAAAGAATGAGAAAGATAGTAAGTTTTGAGCTTGATAAAGAAATATAGAAAGACGAAAAACATTTTACTTTCAAATTGTTAATTTCTTGTTTGTTTTTCTGTTGATGTAGTATCTCCCATGAAACCACTTTTTTGGAAGCGAATACAACTCAGTCAGCTACCAATTAGACTGGAGACTGAGGCCAGTGAAACAGTTTGGGCAACACTTGAAGAACCAACAATTAATGTCAGTCACCTTGCTGAAACTTTTGCCAAGGCGGAGAGGAAGACAGAGGGAAAACTTTTATCCTCTAGATCCATGCACAAAGTAAAGCACCAAGTCATCCACTTACTGGACAACAAGAGATCACAATCTGTGGGAATCTTCCTGAGTAGTCTTCATGTTAATATGGATGAGATAAAAGATGCACTCTACAATGTGAACACCTCCATTGTGGATCAGGAAAGCCTTACCGCACTTTATGAAAGTGTAGGTTTCAAGGTCTTTAACAGTGTGTTTAAAATGGCTTCTTGTAGTTTCTAGTATTTACCAGTATTATGTTGTGATACCATTTTTCTTCTGTTATTTTTTTCTCTGTCTCATAACCTTATTCTGGTTCTTAAAAAAACTCACATCGCCAAAAAATTTTAACCATAGAGCATATACATGCATTTATACAAGAACATACTTTCAAGTACTTTCAACATACTATATAATTTATGTACTATAAAAGAAATTTTAACTCAGAATCTTAAAGGAGACCTGAAGCCTTAAATTTTTTTTTTTTGCATTCATTTTTAGTTAGCTTAAGAGGATTAAGATAAAGTCTTCGTGGTTAATTTTGTTCACTTCCTTTTTCATGAGAAGATTTTATTTGAATTCATTTTTTTTCCTGCTCTTGTAAGACCATAGGCTCAAAAACAATTAGCAGCAGTTGAATATCAAGTCAGTGGTAGGGAACTAACTTGGGAAGGCCTCATATCATATTTCATTTTCAAATTTGATTCCCATTACAAGTTATGCAACTTTGATAACTCCATAACCATACTGAAGTTCCAAAGGAAGAGTATGAGATTATAATCTTTCTTCCCCACCAGTGATAAGCTGATATAGCTGATGTCATTTTTATGTAGAGGCCAACAAAAGAGGAACTTCAAATGATAGCTACCTTCTGTCAAAAGAATTGTGGTGTAATACTTGACAGACCTGAGCAGTTCTTAATGGATTTGTCAAAAATCAGCTGCTATGAAGAGCGACTCTACTGTTTGATGTTAAGAACGGGTGTGACTGACTCTCTCTCAGAAATTGGGCAGAAACTGACCAACTTTCGATTGGTTTGTGAGGTAAAGGTCATGAGTTAAATTTAAAGCTATCATAACATTTTGATTTTGCATTTCACATCGACTATAAGTATCAATATTAACAATGCTGAAGAGAGACTTTTTGGCAGCTGGATCGGCTAGCTGAATTTTTATTTACTTTTACAACTTATCAAGGGCTTTTATCACCAAATATTTTCCCCATCAGCACTCCCACTCGATAAGAACAGGTTAGTGTGTGTTATGGTAGTCACGAGGTAAAATCTCTTTGCTCAGGTTGGTTCTTATTTGGTCTGTAATTTGCCATATGGACCATTTCATGGTTGTGTAGTTGTGTTTGCAAAAGCCAGCAAACTCAAGTTAAACACATTTAATGTGAGTGCCTAATACTTACTAACCTCCCTTGCTTGAGCGGTCCTGAGGCATATTGGCCCTCGGTAGTTTTTAATGGACCTTGCTGCACTTGTTCCGTACTGCTGCAACCTAGAATCAGTATTCCCCATTATTATAAAACTGGCAGCACCTCAGGGCAAGGTGAAAGAAATTCTGTGTTTTGATCGGCTACCCAAGGGGGCAAGATGGGTGGAGTGGACTTTCAAAGTTTGGAAGGTTTGGACAATGTTGGAAGTGAAGTTGCAAGAAGCAGCAGAAGAAAGTCAAAACAAAGAAAACATAAACAGAGTTGGCTCTCTTCCCTGGCTCTTGAAATGAACAGATCATTCTTGATTCTCATCGAAGCAGAATTTATTTTGTATATAGCAAATCCTTTATAGACCTAGCTTGTTTGGGCAAGATGGCTGGATATTAGCCTCATTCTTTTTTCCATTCTTATGGACCTGGACATTGTCTTAGTCACTAAAGATGCAAAAACACTACCTGGACCAACAACAGCCATCTTGATCTCGCGCTTGGTCAATAATGCATTATGTACAGGCCGAAGGTGAGGTTAGTTAGATCTTTGTGGCCCAGTGCAGGCTTTTATGGAAGAAAAGTTGACAAACATCCTTGCATGTTTATTATTTAAAACAATTAGCCAACACATGTGTATTAATTTTATAACTCAACTAAACCATAACAGTGATTGGTTTAGATAATTCATGGAAATTTCTTTTCAGTGAATTTGAATGTATTAACTTAAGGTGGTTGGGTGTAGTTCTCCTCTGTTCTTCCAGCTATTTTCAGAGGACTTGAAAGCCAACTCTCCAGCTTTGTAGTTGTATGATTTTCACTTCATTTTTAAAAATTCCCTAATATATTTTTTCTAAACTTCAGGATGTTAATTTTTGGAGTTAAGATGTTAGTTTTTGAGTGAATTTCAGTCAATGAACAACTGCATTGCTGAGTGGAGGTTGAGTGCCTGAAACATTCAGGAGTTTCCACTATTGGCAGCCTGCTCCCAGATGGAGGCTTCTACACATAGTCAATGTGTATTAAGAATAAACAGCAGACAGATAAACATTTAATAGAGGAGTGATGAAGATGATCTGCAAGATGTGCTCAGAAGGGCATGAACATTTGTTTGCTGGCAGGTAGAAGAGGATGACATGAACTGCTGAGATATCCTGACTAAAGAAGTCTAGAAATTGGTATTGCAAGACCATAGAATAAATAGAACTGGCTTTTTGCTGTCAAATAAGGGGAGGCTGGGCCAGTAGAGAGGGCAGTATTAGTGTAGCCCCAGTGGCTGCATGTGTAGCTAGAGGATGAGAATGTGGAAAATCAAAATGAGATAAAGCAATCAGCTGTATGAGAGGCCATAAAAGCAAAGAAATGGTGGGAAGCTAAGAGGGACAAGTGTCAAAGAAGAACCATCATGTTAGAATCTCTTGAGGTGTCCAAATGCAGGACACTCACAACAGCCATATTGTCTGCACAGAATTCTACCTGTTTTGTGGCCCATTGATGGCCCCATAACGTGGCTGAAATGACCACTCGGAAGAGCTCCTTGTATGCAATTTATAACAGCTGTTGAAAGGCAGACCATGTCCTTACAAACCACTCATGGTTGAAGAGTGCACTATAACCCAGGGCTCCACCTGCATCTTAGGAAACAGAAAATCAGGTTGTGGTGCCCAATGAAAAACACAAAACTGAGGCTGTCCCATGAAGGGAAGAATTCACACCACCAAGAAAGGTCTAGACAAAATTCTTCATTAAGCCTTATGGGTGGTCATCCTGCCAGAATGTTGATAATAAGTTGATCATATTTCATAAAAAGGTATGCCTCAGAGGAATGACTTTTCAAGCGGGTTGGAAATTGTTGATGAGAGATTCCAGCTCTTTTCTCACACAGTGCTGTTTGGAAGACCACGACTCCAACAAGGCAGTGATGCACTCAAACTTGTCCTTTGAAGTATCAGGGAGTCCAGCTCAATACCAAGCACTGTTAAGCAAGTGCACAGCCCCTCTAGTTTGTCTGGGTGAAGGGGGATACCCCAGTCCTGAAGAAGCCAGATGCACATATTCAGGTTATTCTGACAGGCAGATGAGTTGAGGGGACCTATGTGTGGAAGTCATCCAGGAAGTGTAAGAGAAACTGCACACCATGATTGTGTTTGAGAATCCACTCTAGAGGTTTGCAATAGAAGAGAAGACAAATGGTGTATCTAGAGTGTAATTCAAAGGGAACAGCCATACCAATGAAATAATTGCTTTGCCACTTCATGCTGAGCAAATAACAATCATCAGAATGGACGGGGACATTGTGGTATGCACTTTCCACATCAAACTTTGCCATAAGTGCTCCTCATCCATAGGACATGACCACGTTAATGACATTGTCTACTTTCAAGTACTGCAAAGAGAAAGGCTCCCTAGGAATGCTGCGGTTGACACTATGGCCCATTGGGGTAGATATATCCAAGATAAGCCGCCACTTTCTAGGTTGGTATTTCTTTGGGATCACTCCAAAGTGAATGACATGAAGGTTTGGAATTGGAGATATAGAGTAGAGGCCAGCTACCCGACCTTTCTCAAGTTCTATGAGGAGATACTGATCAATTCCTGAAGGGTGCAGTGATGCTGATGGCATACTCTGTGTTGCAGTCTTTAATTGTACACTATTTACAAAATTCCTAAGATTGATCAAGAGACCACCTCAACACTGCTGCCGTTTGTTCCAAGATGGGGTGGTTTCTTGGGAGTGCTGATCATATGATTTAGAGACACAAAAGGGGCAGTTGACATGAGGGTGGTCCCCTTCTCATTTCTCACAGTAAATAGTAGGCGCCATCATTCCATGAGCTGCAGAAGTTGGATAACAAGCTGCTTGAATTAGGGAATGGAGAAGATGCAGCTGATGGCTGAGACTGTAGCGCCAAACGGGTAAGGAAATTGTACAGGTCAAGGTTCATACAAGACCAGTCTGCCAGACCTGATGCAGCTACATCCTTCTGAAAGGCAGTGTCGCAGTGTGAAGCCAGGGAGCTGACATCAGGTCTTCAGAATCAGGAGCTTGTACTGTGTTATGTCCTGCCATCTAGAAGGATGCACATAGCAGAAAATGCACAAGTAGACTGTAAATGCCTCAACCTAGGTGACAATGTCAGTGATCTTTTATCCTTATCTTTGATGAACTCACCCAAAGTTTGCCGTCAAGATATGTTTGTGTCACCACTTCCAGGGCCTTCGAATTTTTGCCTAGTAGGTCAGCCATATCATCAAATTGCCCTGACCTGATCTCAGTAACCAGCTTCTCTGGGATGGGAGAATAATGTGGACCATGCACAAAAGGCCTGTTCAGAAAAAAAGGGATCCACAGTGAAACAATAAACATGTGAACAGAACGCAGCTCAGAAGATGGGCTGATGGTGGGTAGTGCTCTGTACATGGCAGCCCCAGGAGCCAAACAAAGATGGTGAGGTTGAGAATGAATGACCTGTGTGTGATATGTAGAAATGATCAAAGGCACAACAAAATTAGGTGATGATAAGCCTGGAGAGGATGGGGAAGAATTGATGGTGGAGGAGCCCAAAGAAGTTGTACTCAAGAGCATGTTTCCCACTGACATGCAACAGGACATCAGAGCACATGTATTCGTGGAGTGGCTTTGCATGGCCTCCAAAATGTGAGGTAATGACTTGACTAACACTCAGGAGAAGGTTTGATTGAGATCCTGAGCAGAGAGCACAAAAGAAGGAGAAGCTGCAAGAGCTGAGGCAACCGAGGTTTCTGTTAAGGAAAGAGGAGGTGCTGCAGAGAATGGGACCAAAGTAATTACTTCTGAAGATTCCAGCACGGCAGCTGTGCTGTTATTTGGGGAATGCCCCAAAAGGTGATCCATATGAGCGAAAGCAGTAAACTACTAGGAAAACAAACAAAGGAAAACAGTAAATTGGCCACCGTAACGATTACAAAAGCTGATGTTTCGAGCGTTAGGCCTTCCTGGGAGCGAATAGAGGAATTGTGGGTTGTGTGTGCTTTTAAAGGCAGAAAATGGAGCTACATTATTGGTGGGAACATGGCAACGAGAAAAATAAGAATAAATTAGTGGAATGAAAAGCAGTCGTTGATCCCTGTGGGATTTAGACTCATTCCACTAATTTATTCTTGTTTTTCTTGTTGCCATGTTCCCACCAATAATGTAGCTCCATTTTCTGCCTTAAAAAGCACACACAACCCACAATTCCTCTATTTGTTCCGACCAAGGGCTAACCCTCGAAACGTCAGCTTTTGTAATCATTACGGTGGCCAATTTACCATTTCAACTTTGTTGATATATCCAAATTATTTCGTTACTCCCACCAATACAACCCCAAACAGTTTCTTTTGAAACTATCAGCCTTTATTCAAAGGAAAACAGTGCTTATGCCTTTTGAGATGAAAACAGACTGCCACTCCTCACAATGCTCTAACTTCACACCTAAAGCCCATGTAGAAAAACTGCATGGGAATGCTGCAAGCACACCCTTAAAGCACACACAAGAACGCCTAAAATGAAGAGTGCCTGACACATGCCCATATGCCAAAAACCGCTGACTACTGGAGAACACAGATGCTTTTTGTTGTTAACTCTGTTGAATTGCATTTAACTGCATTTAAATGCAGCCATTTTAAAAATGCTGCAAACTTTATTTTTGATTTATCAGTATCAAAATGGTACTATTTGTAGAAGGACTCTTAATTAAGTTGTATGTACAACATTAAATTTGTATTTTGTAAGACAAAATTCTCATGGTATTGCCCAGGATTTGAATTCAGTTCCAGCTAGTATTGTTGGGGTAGTACATCTTGGCAAATTGAGAGGGCTTTTTACAATAAGCATTTAATTTCTCCTCCCAATATCACCCCTGAGTCACACATTTAGATCACAAGAACATAGGAAATGATCACCAACTAAAAGAGCTCTTGATTGTTGAACAAACTCTCCTTGTCAGCACCATAGAGAACAGTATGGAGATTACGCACACTGGTGTTAAGGTCTAGTGAAATAAATTGTAATTTCTAAAGACATTTTATGCCTTTCTCTCTCTTCCCAAAACAAATCTGCAAATGCTGCTCTTGCCTGAGCTCCGTTTACTGGGCACCAAAAAATAACAAACTTAAGTTGGAGCAATATGGCTATGGACAATAGGTCCATAGCCGCTTTTATTGATACAAACAGAACAAGAATGAATTTTGTTAAGGTGTTTGCCTAGTAAAGGTATGGGCCAAGAAAAATGAACCAAGGCTAAATATACAACAAGAGAAAGTGGGCGGATCAGGGGGAGGAGGAGGGAGTCAAAACACAGCTTCTCACTCCCAGTAATCGAGGCAAATGATGAGTACATGGCTAGGGAGTTAATGTGACTTGTAAAAACCCTCAGAGGGGGTCAAGCATAATGGCCATTGACCCCTGACCCAAACCCAGTCCCCCTTGATTATGAAATAAACCCGGGTCAAAGAGAGAAGGCATAAAAATTCTATTTACGAGCAAATAATTTTTATTTTGTTTTTTTTATCTTAATGACCCACTAGATGTTGCAGACACGCAAAGAAGTTACCAACATTTTGGGTTTGGTGCTTGCCTTTGGAAACTACATGAATGGGGGAAACATACCTCGTGGACAAGCAGATGGTTTTGAATTGGACATCCTTCCAAAACTGAAAGATGTGAAATGCAAAGACAATTCCACCAACCTGCTACATTATCTTGTAACTGTTTATATTGAAAAGTTTGATAAGGTACATTCTTAATTATAGCATCAGTATATATCAGCTTTTTTGGACCACTGCACTGTAGGGTTGTTTTACAGCTTGATGGCTGTTTTCTCTAGGAGCTAAAATGATTATATACTTTAAGTTTCACTTAAGTCTGAATTAGGGTGCTCCCAAAATCACATCTTCCTGACTGGGAAAACAATGGAATGTTTTGAAGAAATAAAGTTGTTGAGGACAGATGTGGAATATATATTTGAAGGAATAATTCCTTGTTCTTTTATTCTTCCTCTTAAACAGTATGTTTCTCAATTGGTGTTCAAATATTTTCCTTTAAATATTGTGTCTCAATCGGTGTTAAAAGTAGGCCAGTACTATAACTGTGTGTTCACAGAATTATTTTTGTGTCCACTACAATTAATTTTGATGTAGATATTGTAGTTTTAATTGTCAGAAAGGAAACTGGAATGAAATAAGAATTGCAAACCAAACAAAGAATGTGCTTCAGTTATCCTAATTACCACTTATGTTGGCAATAATTTGAAATGTTTTTGTTTAGTATGCAGGAACTGTTAATTCCAAGTTTCCTCTACCAGAACCACATGATCTGAAAGCAGCATCTCAATTAACATTTGAGGACATAGAGGCAGAAATAAGCAGCTTAAAGAAGCAGTTAGACATATGTAATAGAAAGATTTCAAAAGTGGTGAAGGAAAGTGAAGAAACTCTCCATCAACCGTTTAGTAGCATAATGAGTTCATTTCTGGAGCAGAGTCAAGGAGAGCTATCAGAGCTGGACCAGGCACTCACAGAGTGCAAGAAAAGGTAGCTGGAATACAATTTTCAATGCTAGGAGGATATTGAGCTGAAATGACATCACTAAAATTGTATCATTGTCATTCTCTTCCTCTCTACTCTTTTACTATTTTTGGCCATGTTAGGGACCTATAAGGCAGTCTCTGTAAAAGCAGTCCAATGCATTTTTGTTCAAAAAAGGCAATTTCTTTCAAACTTTGCCTATGAATCTGTGTCCTAGTCTAGAAGTAGTTTAAACCACCTTGGTTTTTGGAAGTATTGTAAAATAACTGTTTTTGCTTTGCATATTTAGATGGATCCTGTGTGAGAACAAACCATGTATGTCTTTTTTTTTAACAGTTCTTTACACTGAAAATTCTTTTTCAGTTTGACGCTAACTTTGCCCTTGCCACCATGATTGTAATTATGCAACTTTTTGTCTCGGCACAGTGCAAAATTCCAACTTCTTCCCTATGATATGTTTATTCAGACTGACTAAAATAGGGTAGAGGAGTGTGAGAATATGAAAATGTGTAGCTGCTTTGGTGAACTTCCTGTACAGCTGGTCAACATAATAATTATGCACATTTTCAAGAATTCCACCAACAACGCGCAAAAAGCGGACTCCATTATTTACGAAATTGACATCGTCAACCCACAGTTGATGCCTAAACTGAGCACTTTGAAGCTTTTTCATGCTTGATGATACTATAAGACAGCCTTAAGGAGCAGAAATCTCCACATCTGTTGTGTTATTTATCGGCGAGCGTAAAAGATCCGAACGACGCCATTCATTCAAGAACTTCAAGTGCCTTTTTACTGCCCGTCACGTGACTCGGTACAAAGTACAAACTATAACAATTTTGACAACACAACAACATCCATCTAGAAAAATTTTTCCACGACAAGCTGATTCTTCACTCTAAGCAACCTATTGTTCTGTTTATTACACAGTAATGAGAAAAAAGAAAAAAATCCTTAAAGTCAAGATAAAGATGAAAATAGTCTTGTTAACCCAGAATAATTTCTTTGAAATATGGGATGTGATCATAGTGGTAAGATCTGGTAATGGTAGATGTTTCCACAAATTCCTCAAACAAGTGTTTTGTGAAAAGAAGAGTACAGTAGTTTCTCGGTTATAGGGCGCACAGTTTTTTCAAGAAAACTCTGTCTTTGGGTTGAAAGTTAGTGGTGAAATTGGGGTGCATCTCATAGCCAAGTATTGTTGTGCAACTAAATCTTAAGATCACAATTTTAGCAGAACTTATAGTTAAAAAGACAAGAAAGGACACTAATTGTTGGTCATTAACTTTTTTAGATCTGGTGGCTCTGAAATGGGCCATTGGGGTGGTTCTGAAAGAACCGTTTCTTATACGGCCTCAGTCAAATGACCACGAAACAAATCCCACATGAGCAGAACTTTTTGGTCTGAGGTGTAGCAGAGGTTGTGTAGAATTTGGGCCTTTATTCCTGTGAATTAAAAAGGAATACTGCTTTTAGAACACTAATCAATTTCCATAGAAAAGTAAACAAATGTAAATTTGCATACGCTCTTAGCTTAATGATATCCATGACAACAAAAGTATCATTCCAACCTTCTTTCAAATTTGGGTTTGTGCCACTCACTTGAAAAGTTCCTTCTCTGAATAAACAATGTGGAGATAAAACCTACCTTCTTCATCCATCCAGCCTTTTTTGTGCACTGAAAGTTGCATCCTCAGTGGTGTGTTAATGTTCAGCTGTTGAACGCCTTTGAATATGACTTTCAGTGGGAGTTTTCACCATTTGCTTTCACCACCAGAGTAACCGTGAAACTTTCTCATATCCATCACACCTTTTGTTAACTCTCAATCTTTTGGTGCATTTTATAACTGAGTATTTTCACGCAATTTTCAGTTTGGGAACTTGGCTTGACAAAGTTGCTAAGTTTGGGGTGCGTCTTATAACCGAGTGTGCCTTATAACTGAGAAACTACGGTAATTCTATTTGTGCCATTTTTGATGATATGCGCTGTTAAATAGGGGCCTTTGAGTGCTGAAGTGATTTTTGCTGGAAAAAAATTATTTTACAGTATTTTGAAAAACCAAAGTGGTTTCAATTACTTTTAGACTGTGACAGATTC